GGAACTAACTATTGGTCACATGATTGGTAACAGGTTTTCAAATTCTTCCGCTGGACCGTCACTTCGATTGGGAACTTGTTGGGAGGAATAATCGTCAAATTTTGTAAATAATGGCTTTATTTCAAGTCTTAACTAACTTAATTTAATCGACACAGTAAACAAGATTGCTAATTTGCAACACGACACAGTTTACAGTACTCACAGATTTATTAAATCTCACAATATTTCACTCACGCATTCACTCACGCACACACTCACTCATTCATCACTGTTCTCTGGTATAAACCTCAATTTTGATATTCACAAACAAGAAGATTTATTTTAGAAAAACTCAAATTTTGATTTAAGAGAGTGCTTTGACCTTCTTAACTTACAAAGTAAATTCTGCAGATCTCCGTTATGTACATCTCTCTCCAACTAAAACAAGGTCAATAATATTTCGTTTCGAACATGCACCCGTTGGTGAGCCCAGAACTGCTCCTAGATTTCATACTAATGAGGTAACTAAGTGAGAAAATGGAAGATCTTTAAATGATCTGCCTTTGTATATGTAATTAAGGAGTCGTTTTAACTTAAGTCAACTCCTTTCAGTCATTCTGTTACTCCCCGTGCTTCCAAGACTCGCCTTCAAGTCACACTTGTGACTTAACATCAAGTAGGTATGTACCGTCTATATCATATCAGGCAAGATGTGGTGTTCGGAGTGTTATTCCGGTAAGAGTTGTCAATAATATAAATACATCTACACTGCGCGCGGCAAAATTTGGGGATGCTCTCGTTCTTGCGCGACCTCTTTGTCTTTGGCTGTTGTAAGCAGGTTTTACTGTGGCACAATGGAGCAATATCTCTAACTAAACAATACACATGGCGACGCATCCAATGAAAATGCTGACTTTCAAAACGGTAACAACAAAAAAAGTGCAGCGTGTTGGTCTGAGGCCAGGCCTCGCACGGCACGACTGATTTCTTAGAAGCTCAGGTTGTGTCCTCTGAGGAAGGCGTCGATCTGACCCGCAGCAAGGGCTGCTCTCTGGTCGCCGGCGTCCTGGGGCGACACGTAGTAGAACTGCGTCTGGGGAGCGCTGCTGTGGCCTGGCGCCGCCGCGTACTGCACGGGCTGCAACAGGAACAGGTAGGTGTCAACTTGATAAACGGTTGCCTTTAAGTTTGTTTAGGTAATATCAGAATCCCGGTGTGTCTGTGTACCTGCGCGGCGTATCGCGACGGTGCGGGGGCGAGCCTGACGGGTGCGGCGGTGGAAGACACCTGCTGCAGCTGGGTAGGCTGGTAGCGGGGCGCCTGGTAACTGGCCTGGGCCTGGGCCAGGGACCGCTGCTGCTGCAGCTGGCGCTGCTGCTGCGCGAACAGCTGCTGGCTCTGTTGCAGGAGGGTCGCCTGTTGCTGCTGTACGAGCTGCTGCTGGTAAACGTTGCCGGGCTGGGGCTGCTGCTGCTGCAGGTGCTGAGGCTGCTGCTGCAGATGCTGAGGCAAGTGCTGGGGCAGCTGCTGCTGGGCGACGTACGGCTGCAGGCGGTGTCGCTGCACCTGCGAGTCATGCCAAATGGTTTTTGAGCTCTAGTCTCGACACTTTGTTCCAATAGAACACATCGCTCGTTGCCATACCGAATTCGAAAAACAAATGCACCGGAAGTTGTCGCTCAGCAGGAGTATGAAAAATCGATCCGACGCTTGGTGTGAACTGTACCAAGAACATAGCGCGCGCGTGTCGAAACTATCCGACAATATTTCTTCCCGAACTCGACGCAACTGAAATACTTCCTCTCAAGAGAAATGGCTAGGAGATTATCTTCACACGTCTCTGTGTATCACTAGCGCAGGATCGATTTCGCATACACACGAGCGCCGACTGCCGATCCGGTGCATTTGTTTACTCGAGGTCGCGACGAGCGGATGCGGAGGCCTGTTTGTACATGACCCAGTGGACAAAAAAAAAATCAAAGTCTTGTCAAGTCAAGTCATTTCACAATCATTTCACAACTATGATGTCAAAATGACATCATATTTGTGAATTGACTTGACTTGACATGACTTTGACTATTTTTTGTCCACTGGGTGATGTTCATGGCGCGGCACTTACGGCGCTGATGTCCTGCGGCTGGGACTTGGGCAGCGACTGGTACACGACGGTGTTGTACTGGCCGGAGGCCGGGTCGAACACCAGCTCCGTGGAGTAGATGGGCTCGGAGCCCTTGTGGCCGGCGGCAGAGCCCGGGCGCTCGGAGGTGGCCACCACGTTGTTGTCCAGCTGGAACTTGCGCAGCTCTTCCGAGAAGTCGATGGTGCCGGGCGTGCTGGAGCGGATGGGCGCGGCCACGGGCGAGTACGGCTTGGCGGAGTACAGCGAGGCGGGCCGGGGAGTCACCGACACCTGCGGGACGGGACGACAAGGTTAGTGGCATGACAGAAGAAGCAACGAGGCGCGGCTATACGGACATGAGCCCGCCCGGAGTTGAGCCCGGACCACTGTAGGCCCAAGCAGTGTCCGATATGAGCCTAGCCTAGCTGGACGTAGCCAGGACCAAAGCTGACGAGTCAGTCTCGGATCTAGGCTCATATCGGGCATTGGTCGGGCCTACAGTGGTCCGGGCTCAACTCTGGGCGGGCTCAAGTCCGTATAGCCCGAGGCGCTGCAGCTGACCCTTTGGCTGCGGCTATGCCCGGCTGGAGCCGGTGGGCTCGCACTCCCGTATTCTCCTCAGCTCCACAGCGGCCCGTTCTGACCATATATTCCCCGTATTGGATGTCAGCTCGCGGTCCACGCTGACCGGCTAAGGAGGGCGTCGAGTCGGTCGCACCCGCCCGCCGCCCCGCGCCGCGCAGTTCCCACACTCGGGCGTTGCGCAAAAGCGTGTCCTCCCCCCGCCCCGCCCCGCCCCCCGCGGTCGTGGCAGCCCATCCAGCATACTGCTGCGTGCCGGCCGGACCGGACCGGGGCCATGCAGTGCAAAGTGATGCAGACCGGGCGGGGCCGGGGCGTGCGCGTGCGTTAGCGCGTCGCCGGCGCGTTGCGCCACCTTGACAGTTTCCGAAAAGTGGCCCGATTTTCACGAGAAGAAAACCGGTTGCCCTCCCCGCGTGGGCTCGCTGCGCGGCCCGTGCATGCAAACGTTCGGGACGCGCGCCTGTCTGTCTGGTGCTTATCCCAGGGCGTTCCCCGTTCCCCCTGCGTCGACAGGTGAGGGCTCTGTTGTAGCCTAACTTCTGTTCCTGGCGCTGCGC